GATGAGGACTACTGGATAAATGATATGATTCTTCACGATGATAAGAGATACTGGAGTAGCTGTACTCTTTTTCCTTCGATCAAGTTTTTTCCCACTGGGTTTTCTTGACAAGGTTTTAACGAGGCAGCACATGGATATTCCACTAAAGATGATCTATTTGAGGGGGAGCTATGTTGTGCTTCCACAATGCTCAGGTTTTGTCCCACTGGGTTTTCCTGAAGAAACAATGTTATGATTTCAAGATGATCAGGTTTTGTCCTACCGGGTTTTCCTGACGTGCTGAAGCAACGGTACCTGATGGCCACAAGATACACTTGAAGATGTGCAGATTGGGCTTTGTTCAAATCAGTTAAAATATGTTTAGAAAATAGTCATTCAAGGGGGAGTGTTATGAAATAATAAAATAATGTATGTGAATGACTATTTTGCCCTCGATGTATTTGTATTATTACAAATTGTGCCATCAGGAGTTTCCTATAAATAGGAGCTTCAGTTATAATGAAAAACACACCTAAGAGAATACATTTTCTCTATTCTCTCTCTTTCTCTCTAGTTTTATAACATGTTGTTATTTTTTGAAATACTTTATTTGTCATTTTTGAAATAGAGCTTTTATGCCTATTTCCTAAAATAGTTTTATGCATATATTTCCTAACTTAACAAGCATAGCGTTATTGTGTAGTAGTAATTTTCCATTGATTAAACAAGAGGAAGTTTCCCTTCATTTTCTCTTTTGTTTCAAAATATAACAAAGGCAGCCTAATTTGTAAATCCAACAAGTTGTCCTTATCAGTTATTATTGTCAATTCATTGATTGTACCAAACACATCACATACTATCAAACAAATATACGAAAATTTTTAGCATGCTCTAATAATTTGCATCATTTGACAAGACATGAAAACACAACCCGCCTTCTTCGATTTCCGTACAGCTATTTTCCCGCATGCATAATTTATAAAGTCTTGCATTTGTTTGTGATCGGCTATTGTTTGTGCTATGCACCAATCTTCCTACATTATAAATAAAAGTAAATATATTTCGTTTTCAATGGGTCAGTCAATCTTGTATATAATAATCTTACTACTGTCAAAGAAGAGAGCACACAAGAAGCAGCCTGAGAACGTTGGGTTTTGCCATGATGATATATAACTGAATCTTTAGAAAAAATCAAATAAAGCTTAATGAAGAAGATTTATTAATTTGTTGAATAAAAACATGGGCCACTTGAGTTTATATTATTATATATATGTGTATGTTGCATTGAGAATTTTGTAAATAAGAAATCAAATACTGGTTCATGATTTGATAATGTGGTAGCCAAATTTGGAATAAAAATATGTATACAAGTTGTGTATACAAGATAACTAGTACGTACCCCGTGCGATGCACGGGAGAGAGATATTAAATGAATTATTTTCACAGGCTCTATTCGTTTAAGTCTGAAAAGGGTTATTATCCATTTTCCACCTATTTTAATCACCGTTAAGACTCGTTTAAGTCTGAAAGAGTTATCATCTATTTTCCACCTCTTTTAATCACCGTTAAGTCTAAAAAATAGGGTTGTAATCTATTTTTTTACATCTTTTAATCAGTGTTGTTTAATTAGTCAGAACATTAAACGTGAACATATTAGGGCTAACTTGTAAAATAATTAATATATATTTTATCTCACTAACACATTATACTAACATAAATTTAATTTTATTATATATATTGATTCTTTGATATAAGAGAAAATAACAATTTTACTTATTCTTGTTCACTATATAATAGTTAATTATTAAACTCTGTTGTCATATAATGTCATTATTATTTATAAAATTATACAAGTTGCACGTCTTCTTGTTCTTTTTATTTTATGTAATGAAATATATTTAATGCACATTGGTATTATTTATATAAGTAATCAATTTAAAATATGCAAATAAATTTAAAATTAAATAGTGTATAAATAATGTACAAAATATACACATATATTTTTTAGAATTTAATTTTGTATACTAATTAAACAACTTTGATTTAAGAAAAGCCATGAACTCAATCTCTTCTAATATCAATATTTTTCTAATTTGCATTGTAATGATTATTCTTATTATATATATAGATTAGAATTTTTGCGACACCAACCAAACTAAATATCACAACAACCAACTAATAATTATGAAAAAACCAATAACACAAAAACTATCAATTAAATTTGGTAATAGAAAAATTACATACGTATATATAAAAATATGAGGATTCTATATTTCTATTAACTGATGTATACACCACGTGTATATTTTGTTAAGGTATATTTGAATGTTCAATTTCATAGCTTGATAACAATCAGTCTTAAAAAATCGAAAATCTTATTGAAATGCCATATATTTCTGTTAGAAAAAAAAGTTCTCATAAAAAATAATTATATCATAGCAAATTCATTGTGTAATTGAACAAATTTCTATAATGAAGCCCGATTTTCAGTACAAAAATAAAGCAACAACTTCCACATTTTAAGGAAATCAATTAATGTTAATCCGTTTTTGCTAAGAAAATAATAAATAAATAAATTTTAATTAATGAGAAATAATTAATGATGAGAGAATTTGACCATATCTGTTCTTAAAAATCGTAACAGAAAAACAAATATTAAATAAAACTGTATAATACGAAAATAGTAATGACAATAAATGCCATTGATTTTTTTTAGCTACTAAATTTGATAAATAGGACTCCCTTTAATATAAGTATAGATATAGATTATAATTTGCTCGATAACTACTATACAGTAACCTGCTATAAAATATATGCTCTGATTACACGTGGATTGCATGCAAATTTGATTTATCCTTTCTATAGATCCGTTGCTAATGGCTGTTAATAATTCAAGCAATCTAAATGATTTGAGTGATATAGTTTGGATAATATTGGAAAATATAGTAGTTGAAGTTTTTAGAGTGATAAGAGTTTGACTAAGAAATATATTCATCCATATTGCTATAAATATGTCAATCTTCATATTGCACATGATTTGATATNAGTCAATTTTATATTATCCAAAGTTTGGGTTTGGATTTATTTTCCGAGTATCAACATCTATATCTATATAATACCCCAATTCATTTTAGATAATTTTACTAATCTATATCTATAATAGCACAATTAGATTTAGATAGTTTTAGTAATAATTTCCCCATCAAAGTATTTTGGGTCAATATTGAATTTTTGTTTTTTGGAGCTAATAATTCAATAAATATAATAATGTTTATAGTATTTTTGAATCCTAAATATTGTTACATTATGAAAGTTTATGACTAATTAAATCTATCAAATCAATTTATTTTATTAGAAAATTTTCTTATATATATTTTATTAGCAGTTATTTGTACTAACTAGTACAATACATGTGTATTACACGGGTGCTTATTAAACAATTATACTTAAATTTATAAGGTAATAGTACAGTATTCGTGTATTACACTAGTGCTTGTTAAAAAATGTATATATAAAATTTAAAAAGTAATAGAAAAAGTATGTTTTAAATTTTATTTTTCTTTAAAAAAATTATATTATTATCATTTATATTTAAAATGACACAATCATATCAACACTTAACCATCTTATATTATAACATTTTTTTTTCTTATGGATTGAATGTGATTTTAAATTTCTATTTAAACTATAATATTAAAGTTTATGTGAATATTCTAAATGATAAGGAGTTAAAATATGTAAATTGATGAATAGCAAATTTTATTTATGTAATGGTTGATTAATATTATTCAGTTATATTAATAAAAAAATATAAAAGTTAAGATGAATTAAAGTTGAGTTTAAAAAAGTATAGATTTTTTTTTTTTCCAAAACGACAGATAATATTATAAATCAAAATGCACAAATGTGCGAATACACAGCAGCCAACGACTGAATACACAACAGCCAATAGCTGAGAAAGTGGGAGGACAGGTCGAAGTCCGCCTAGAATCCCGACTAGCAACGCTAGAATAAAAAACACTCGCAACTAAACCGACCCAAAAACAAGAAAAACTAAAACAACTAAAAGACCCAACAGGGTAATACCCGAGTGTCGGATCCCAACAGAGTAATAAGTTTGACACTCGGGATCACAGGGGCCAACTGCCCAAACCAAAAACACATTACATAGACAACACAACAAGAAAACACTAAACATGAACACAATAAACTAAACATACTAATATTAAAAGTAACAGCCCTTCCCCAACGAACGAGCTAGCCCGAACCAGTAGTGAACGATCGATACAAGACAAATTCAGGACGAGTCTGCTACCGAAACTGTAATCAAGCCTATACAGTAGAAGAAACATAACCCCGAATCAGTCCCCGAATCGATCCATCAATAACCGAGAGAGCCAATTCAACCCCACACTGATTCCACCCGAATTCTTCTAACACCACTGGACGAAAACCGATGAAACTTCCCCCCGCCTCATAACACCACTAGACGAAAAAAGTATAGATTAAACTTGAATAAAATTTTTTAAGTTAAAATAGTGTTAAAAAAAATTATGCAGCGAATCAAAAACAGTTTTTTTTTCTTCCATTAACAAATGCCACTAGAAGTCTCAGCATGCCCCTCCTAATATTTTTTACCAACTTCAAAGATGGAAAAGGTTGAAACATTACTTAAATAAATTATTTGAATATTACATACGACGAGAATAACATGAGAGCCAGTGACGGAGGAATGCAAAACATGAGTTCTTCAAGAGGAGCATAAATACATCTCATAAGACAGTTAAGCAAATCTTGACAAAAAAAATAAATAGTTAGGGTCACCCGAGCAAGAGTTTAACAACAGTGGACCATTGAGACAACACAAGTACAAACAACAATACAACACAGTTTGAGGTTTGGAGACTGGCTTTTAGTTTTACAAAAGGGAATACAAATACAAGGCAACAAACAGGAAAAGTTGGAAAAGGGTATTGAATCCTCAAGACAACATAAATAACCCATTCAGTATTCAGGGGAAATCATGGGCCGAGAAAGGGGCACTGCTTCCTTGCATGCTCGGGAATCAATTTTGCCAGTGTCTCCGCAGGAACACCCTTCAACTCTGAAAACAGAAATGCAATATAATATTAAATAAATAAAAAATAAATAAATTAAAAATGGGTCAAAAGTAGAAGATTTGTACCATGAGGCTTGAAGTTAAATAATGGAGGAAGAAAACGGCCATTGGGAAGATGAGTGCTCGGGTCACGAAGCTCGTCAAAGAAGGGGTGGGTAAGGGCATCCAACTGTAGCAAGTTTCGCCAGATTTGTTGATTAAAACAATATAATAGGTTTGATGCCGGTAAAACCACCAATACAAACATTCTATGGAGCCATAAGATGGTTTTTCTTATAGAGCCATCGGATAGTTTTCTTATGGAGTCATCCACAACTTAATGTAATGACACCTGTATTTATCTATCGTAGGACAATACACAAATGGTGAATAAGTGTAGATGGCTCCATAGCAAAACTGACCACCAATATACCTACCAAATTATACCTACCTTTGGTGGCAGATGTTTGGATATATAGATATATCCAAAAATTTCAGTCTCAACTCAAATCTAACTCAACTTTAATTCATTCACACTATCCTTGATATTACTAACATAATAACATAATTAGATAATAGGGAAATGCTCCCCTACCCACAGTGGGCACAAATTAATTTGCCCACCACTTATGTGGCATGTATGAGTTTGTTGGAGAAAAATAATGCTTGGTGATGTGTACATGCCCCATACATGCCACATAAGTGGTGGGTAAATTAATTTGTGCCCACTGTGGGAAGGGGAGCATTTCCCTTAGATAATATTAATCAATCATCCTTACACATCACATCAAATTTAATTCATTATTCATCTACTCACATAATTTTAACTACGCATCACTTCCACTCACTTCTCTCATACTTTTAATTAAACAACATTAATTATTTTATCATAAATATTATTTTAAGACAAACTCAAAATCTCACTCAAACCTAACTCAACCAACTTTTTCAAACTTAACTCTGGTTAACAAAAAAAAAAATAAAAAAAAAAAAAAAAAAAAAAAAAACAAAAGGAAAAAACAAAAAAAAAATCTCAATCAAAAGTCGATATATCTATATCCAAGCAAGCACATTTAAGTAGAACTCTTGGAAGATTGCATTAATAACTACCCGCTCATTTTAAAACGGAGAAGTTCAAAAAAATACTATGAATGGCATTGTTACATTTTACTTTAAAACAGATTCTTCCGTTGTAAAACATATAATTATGAAATTCTTGTTCCCATATGTTCAAAAGATCATCGGTATTAGCAACATACATAACTATGTTAAGAGAAGAAAACGAACCAATCAATCCACACTAGTCCTATAAGCCTAATGTAGAAACAAATTGCTATATCAAATATTGTAAATGACAAAAGACCTCGCCACTTTTCAATAGGAAGTTCACGAAAAACAAGGATACTCACAGCTGAGCAACGAAGATTAGGAGAGTATTGCAGCAGCCTCGAAACAAGATCAACAGCTTCTGGAGGCATGCGCTTATGGAATATCTGGAATCAATTAAATAAAAACATGGTGAAAAAGGAAGCAAACGGCCAACAGAAATGACTGCAAACAAACTCATCAACGAATACCTTGTGCCATGGATGGGCTTTAATTTGTGGGAATTTGAACTCAGTATAATTGGGGTTCATGCATTTGATTTCCTCCCTCGTCGGAGTACCCAAAACCTGAAACATCAATTTACACAACTGTAGGGGCAGCCCCAACGAAAACTTTGAATACCTTCCCCTACATTTCTTCAATTTTTTCTTAGGGCGTATACAAATATATCCGTTCAAAATGAGTTTTTCGGCTAACCAGAGTTAATTTTGAAAAAGATGGTATGGTTAGTTGTTAGTGGAATTTTGAGTTTATATTAAAATAATATTTAAAATAAAGTAATTAAAGTTGATTTGATGTAAAAGTAGGAGAGATGATGTGAAGCAATAATTAATTAAAATTATGTGAGTGGATGAATATTGAATTACAACTGATGGTATGTGTAAGAATAATTGATTGTTATTATTTAATTATATTAGAGTTGCGATTTATTTTGAATATGAATTGAATTATTTTTTATAAACAAACACACTCTTAGTATCTCATTTTGAGAAAAGAACAAGATAAAAATCTAAACGACTAAAAACAACCAGAAAAAACCTCTTCTTCAATAAATGGTAAAGGTACTAAGCAT